TGTCGTTCTACGTTTATATATATTGAGAAAAGGTTCACTTTATAAATAAAAATCTAAATTTTCTTTTTAATCATTTTCTCTATTTCTTCTACTTACTTTTCATAATTTTTTATTTATTTATATATATGTTTTAGAAATAAAAAATGCCCATCCTGACCGTTCATATAAGCATTTTTTTAGATGGTAGAGCGCCATCTAGGAAAACAAAAATTAACTAAACGTTGATTTAGACCTGTTTCGTAATATTTGGCCAACCTATTTCTTTGATAAATCAAGAAAAGCCAATCACTTACGCGTTTCGGGTTGTTGGTCCTCGTCCGTGTAGTGAAGGCTGTACATAAAAATACTTGATACGAATCTATACCTTTCTGGCCTCTGAAAGCTTCTCTACAGGAGAAATTGATTTTTTTTTCTTTTAAATCGCATCCCCCGTTCTACAAAAACGTTGTATAGACATACTCACAAGGTCTTTTTTATTATTATTCCAAATAGACATACAGGCCATTTATAATTATGGTAGGTAGTTAGCGACTGCTTTTACTACTGTAAGTACACTACATATCTACATATGTAGAAAGAGCAGTTATACTTTTTAACTTTACAAATGTTCCAAAGACCCTGTTTAGTTATTTGTACTTATTGGTGTAGACATACTCAAGGTCATTTTTTAATTATTTCAAATACACGTGATACAGGCCATTATGGTAGTATGGAACGCTTCACGATTTTGACTGCTTTTACTACTGTGTAAGTACACCACATATCTACACATGTAGTAAGCCCCATTCAACCTTTGCACTTTATAAGTGTTCTAAAGACCTTGTTTAGTTACTTGCCCTTATTGGTGTAGACATACTCAAGGTCATTTTTTAATTATTTCAAATACACGTTGTACAGGCCATTATGGTAGTAGTAAGTGACTGCTTTTACTACTGTGTAAGTACACCACATATCTACACATGTAGAAAGAGCAGTTCAACTTTTTCACTTTACAAATGTTCCAAAGACCCTGTTTAGTTATTTGCACTTATTGGTGTAGACATACTCAAGGTCATTTTTAAAATTTTTCAAATACACGTGCTACAGGCCATTATGGTAGTAGTGTGTGACTGCTTTTACTACTGTGTAAGTACAACCATATGTCTACATATGTAGAAAGCCCCATTCAACTTTTTCACTTTACAAATGTTTCAGACCCTGTTTAGTTACTTACGCTCACTGGTGAGGTTGGACATTTGAAAGAATACGGGGGTCATTGAAGCATTTTTTTTTCTTTATAATAAAAAGTGCTCAATGCGGGATTCGATC